TGTGTCTGACGACTCGACTGTCCCGGGGGATACGAACCCTCCCAAGGACCGGTACAGACCGGCGGGCTGCTCGGTGTGGCACAGTAGGCCGGAAAGGCTGAGTTGTGGGCTGAAAGCACAGGCAAAACCAACCTGATCACGTCGTCCTGCCTGCGACGTTAAAGAATTCTTGAGGAGTTACGGGGGATCTCCTTAAATGCCTCCTGATCAGCCACTGGTTCAGTAGTGACAGCCATAGTGTAGGTCTAGGCTAGAGACCATAGTTGACAGGATCCCTGTCAGGATTCTGTGAGTCTTAGATTGAGTCAGTAGGTCTCTCAGTCAGGGGTTGACGTCTACGTGGTGAGGTTTGGAACCACTAACCGGTTGTACACTTATCACCATGGTTGAGACCCGTAGTGGGAAGGAGACTAGCCCCTACACCACTGAGCAACAAGAAAAGATGGCCGCCTTAGTTAGAGAGAATAAGGAGAGGAAAGAGCGTGAAAAGCAAGCCAAGCTAAAGGCTATCGCAGACGAGCAGGCGGCGAGGATGAAGAGATTGAAGGAGGAGATGAAAAGGGTACAACAAGAGGAGGAAGAAAGAAGGAAGGCTGCTAAAGCAGAAGCGGCAGTAGAAGAAGAGAAGAGAGAATGAGAATTGAGAGTGGGGAAGGAAGTGGTGGTGGCACGATGAAGTGGGAGACAGATAATGAGCTGGAGAAGAACATCAGCGAGTGGGTCGCTAATTTATCGTTGGGGGAAGACGAGGAGACAGAGTCATATGTGACTAAGGATGAGAAGGCTGCACTGGCCGCTGAGTTAGCAGCCATGACGGACCCGATGGAACGAAGAGAGAGAGAAGACGAGCAAAAATTAGCATGAAAGCTGAGAATGAAGAGGGAGAAGAAGAGGAGGAGAGAGGAAGTGGATAAGATGACCGCAGCAGTGACAAAGGTGTAGGAGTGTAGAGCGGAGGTGCTGGCCCAGCCGGATGATAAGGCTAAGTGGGACAAAGTACTACGCTATCTAGAGGTGTTGAGCAAGGCCTGGATGGAGGAGCGCCAGGCAAGCTGGAGCGAGGATGTTGCGTTGAGTGCCATGCGGTCCGGGTTCAGGGATTTTGCGCGCGAAATCGTCACCCACATTGGGGGCGAAGTCAAACAGTTGAGGGACAATGTAGGGAAGTTTTGTGAGGGCGCCATTTAGGGTGCCAAAGCTACAGCCGCTGTAGAAGGAGAGGCCAGACCCCGTAAGGACCTAGTGAAACTTAAGTTTCCAGATGCGTACGGGGGAAAGAAGGACGAGAACTTTGACAACTGGGAGGCTAGTGCCAATAGTTACATTTATTTACATCATATCTTGATGGAGGAGCAAGTCCTCGTGGCCTTCCAGGCCTTGAAGGACGAAGCGGCTAGCTTCGCCACGTCTCTCGCGCGTACAGCCGGTTGTGAAAACAACCTGGTTGCGTTTTCCAAAGTCACTCCTCTTTCCCAATTCCTCAAGCTCCTCAAGGAGCGGTTCGCTGACCCAACACGAGGCATTAGAGCCTCTGATAAGCTCCAAACGATCCACTCTCGGCAGTGGAGGAGTGCTAAGGCACTCAAGGGTACTATGGACGACTTGGTAGCCGTCCCGGACCACGGGGTCACTGAGCCCCAGCTGGTCCAGTTGTTTTACCGTGCCATTCCAAAGGCCCTACGCGGGCATTTCTTTGACAAATCTCAGCAAGCCAGCATGACTTACGATGCATTGAGTAGGGAAGTCGTCCTGTATGAGTCGAAGTCTATGCCAATGACCACTTTCTGGCATAAGGACTTAGAGAAGGGGAAGAAGTGGAAGAATCGTACCATATCATGCCAAGTAAAGGCCAAGGATCACATGATCCTGACATTAGAAGAAGGTGGTACCGATGAGGTCCCATATGACCAGATTGAGTGGGGCCTTGAAGATGATGGCAGTAGTGTGGGGCAGGGGAGGTTTTACGCTGTTGTCGCGGCTTGAGGGAGGCCGCAGGGAGGAGGAGGTGGCCAGGGCCAAAGGGGCCAGGCCATGGGTGGTTGAGGACCGGGCGCACAGGGGGTTGGCGGACAGGGAAACCACCAAGCGGGAGGTAGGGGTTAAGGTCCCCCGTCAAATCGCCAGGCTAATCGGTCCCCACAACGAAGAGGTGGAAGGACACCTCAAGGGGGTTGGCACCCAGGCTTGCCACAGGGCAGACCCTGGGAAGATTTGGGCTTGGACCAACGCGTATGGCAGGAACGCGTGGACCGGGGTCAGTGCGTATTCTGTGGTGACCCGGCCCACGTTATCAAATTTTGTCCAAAGTATAGACAGGCCCGTTGGGCTGCTCAGCAGTCAAGAGGCAGCCGCCAGTAGGGGTTGCAACTGCCCCTACTTCAAGGCCATGTGGAGAAGTGAGAGCGCGCGAACAGGACACTCCCAACCCACATGAGCCTATGGCAGAGGTTGCAGGCCCGTGCCTAGATAGCTGTCCAGAGACCGCCTATGTTAGCGTCTCTTTAGGAACCTCCCTCACAGGTGTGGCAGAAAAGTTAAAGGAGAGGATGCCAGCCTGGGCCAAAATGAAAAAGGAGAGCAAGGGACAACTGATTTTGGTAGATGTAGAGGTGTTTAGAAGTAGAGTAGGGGCCCTTATAGACTCAGGGGCTACACGTAGTTATATCAGCCGTAGGGCGCTGAAGAAGTTGAGGCTGGGACTAAAAGTCGAGAAGTTAGTAGACCCCATAGTTAGTATCCTCGCAGACAACTGCACGATGCGAGTTGAGGACTACGTAGAGGGAGTCAAGGCGTACTTTCGCCTAGAGAAGGATGGGAAGGTAGAGAAAGTTTTCCATTCCCTGACTCTCCTCGTACAAGATGACCTTGGCACACTTCATTTGAGAGAGCACGAGTGTAGGCTCCCTAGTCCGGCGGCAGGGGACACACTTCATTTGAGAGAGCACGAGTGTAGGCTCCCTAGTCCGGCGGGCGAAGTTAAGACTGCCCGCTTGTCCCGCGTGTCGGGTGTAGACAACACCTTGGCATATTGTTGTCTAAGTGCTCCCGCGTTCGTGCGATTAGTCAAAAAGGAGCAGTTAGAAGACCAAGTCTTTGTAATTTATGTTAGACCTGTCACTGAGGCCCAGGAAAAGGATAGCTCCACAGATCCAACAATTGTCAAGCTGCTGGAATAATTTAAAGACTTGACTGAGTCGCCGACAGGAGTAATGTCGCGACCCATTCAACACAGGATAGAGATAGGGCCTGGCATTAGAACTCCTAAGGGTGCAGTCTACAGGATGTCCCCTAGAGAGTTAGAGGAGTTTCACAAGCAGTTAGACGAACTCCTTGAGAAAGGTTGGATCAGGCCCAGTTCGTCTCCTTTTGGAGCACCCGTTTTGTTTGTCCCCAAGAAGGAAGGAGAGCTGAGAATGTGTTTAGACTATAGGGGTTTGAATGCGATCACGGTGAAGAATGCTGAGCCGCTGCCCCGGATAGACGATCTTTTAGATCGGGTGCAAGGTTGTAAGTATTTCTCCAAGATAGACCTGAAATCCGGATACCATCAGATAGAAGTCCATCCTGATGATCAGTATAAGACTGCATTCCGGACTAGATATGGACACTATGAGTTTATAGTGATGCCCTTTGGATTAACCAATGCGCCAGCCACTTTTCAGCGTTGTATGAACGATCTATTTAGACCATGGTTAGATAAGTTTGTAGTAGTCTATCTAGACGATATCCTAGTTTTTAGTAAGACCCTCCAGGAGCATCAGGGTCATCTGAGACAGGTGTTGGAGAAACTTAGAGAGGCTAACTTTAAGATCAACGCGAAGAAGTGTGAGTCGGCCAAGACACAAGTTTTGTACTTTGGCCACGTATTAGACGGAGATGGCATCAAGCCAGAGGACAGCAAGATCGCGACGATTAGAGATTGGTCGACGCCCCGCATATTGACAAAGTTGCGGTCGTTCCTAGGCTTAGCTAACTACGACAGGAAGTTCGTAAGGAACTTCTCCACTATCGCCGCTCCCTTGCGCCGATTGCTGAAGAAAGAGGTAATCTGGCAATGGGACAAAGACTGTACGTTTGCGCTCAAGAAGCTAAAGCACGCGTTAATAGAGTATCATGTCCTCAAAGTTGCAGATCCATCTTTGCCATTTGTCGTCACCACGGACGCGAGCCAGTATGGGATAGGCGCCGTGTTGCAGCAAGACGACGACAATGGTTATAGACCCGTAGAGTTCATGTCAGCGAGGATGCCCTGTGAGAAGGTTGTTGCCTCCACGTACGAGAGAGAACTCTACGCTCTCAGGCAGGCTTTAGATCATTGGAAGCACTACCTGCTTGGGAGGCACTTCAAAGTCTACTCGGACCATGAAACACTTAGATGGTTGAAGACCCAGGCCAAGATGACACCGAAGTTTACCAGGTGGGCCGCAGAGATAGACCAATTCGACTTTGAGCTCAAGTCAGTGAAGGGCAAGTACAATGTAGTGGCGGATGCTCTAAGTAGGAGATCAGACTACTTTGGAACCGTAGTACATTATCTTGATACTTCGGGATTTTTGGGGATTTTATTTAGTCATTTTGCTTGATCTAGCATATTATATCCCGACTTGTATTCGGTGTGTCGTTACTGAAATACATTGTGAGATCTTCGGGATTTTACTTAGTCATTTTGCTTGATCTAGCGTATTGTATCCCGACGTGTATTCGGTCTTTCGTTACAGAAAAATACTTCGGGATTTTTTGGATTTTACTTAGTCATTTTATTTGATCTACCATATTATATCCCGATGTGTATTCGGTGTTTCATTACCGAAATACTCTTCGGGATTTTCGGGATCTTACTTACTCATTTCGCTTGAGAAAACATATTATATCCCGACGTGTATTCGGTGTTTCGTTACCGAAATACAGTTTGGGATTTTCGGGATTTTACTGAGTTATTTTGCTTGATCTAACATATTTTATCTCGATGTATATTAGGTGTTTCGTTACCGAAATACACTTCGGGATTTTCGGGATTTTACTAAGTCATTTTGCTTGATCTAGCATAGTTTATCCTGACGTCTATTCGGGATTTCGATGTCAAAATAAGCTTCGGGATTCTCGAGATTTTACTTAGTCATTTTGCTTGATCTAGCAAATTATATCCCGACATGTATTCGGGATTTCGTTGTCGAAATACACTTCTTGATTTTTGGGATTTTAATTAGTCTCGTTTCTATACTATATCCCGACGTGCATTCAATATTTCATTACCAAAATACACTTCGCGATTTTTGGGATTTACTTAGTCTTGTTTCTATGTTATATCCGTACATGTATTCGGTGTTTCGTTAACGAAATACACTTCGGGATTTTTGGGATTTACTTAGTCGTTTTGCTTGATTTAGCATGTTACATTCCGACGTGTATTCGGTGTTTCGTTACCGAAGTACAGTTCGGTATATCCGGGATTTGCTTCGTCTCGTTTCTATATTATTTTCCGACGTGTATTCGGGATTTCATTATCGAAATACACTTCGGGATTTTCAGGATTTTCGGGATTTTTTTAGTGTCGTTTCTATTTTGTATCCCGACGTGTATTCAGTGTTTCATTACTGAAATACACTTCGGGATTTTCAGGATTTACTTAGTCGTTTTGCTTGATGTAGCATATTATATCCCGATGTGTATTCGGTATTTCGTTACCGAAACGCATTTCGGGATTTTCGGAATTTACTTAGTCGGTTTGCTTAATTTAGCATATTATATCCCGACGTGTATTCGGGATTTCGTTATCGAAATACACTTCGAGATTTTCAGAATTTACTTGGTCTCGTTTCTATATTATATCCCGAAGTTTATTCGATGTTTCGTTATGGAAATACACTTCGGGATTGTCGGGATTGACTTAGTCTCGTTTCTGTGTTGTATCCCGACATGTATTCCGTGTTTTGTTACCGAAATACACTTCGGGATTTTCGGGATTTACTTAGTCGTTTTGTTTGATTTAACATATTATATCCTGGCGTGTATTTGGGATTTCGTTACCGAAACAAACTTCGGGATTTTTGGGATTTACTTGGTCTCGTTTCTATATTATATCCTGAAGTGTTTTTGGGATCTCGTCACAGAAATATACTTCGGGATTTTCGGGATTTGCTTAGTCGTTTCACTTGATTTAGTATATAATATCCCGACGTGTATTCGAGATTTCATTACCGAAGTATTGGGAGGGGTTGTGCGCTTAGTGTGAGAGAGTGTGAGAGAGAAAGAGGGAAAAAAACAGAGAGAGAGAGGGGTACTGAGAGAGAGACTGAGAGAGAGAGAGAAGAGAGAGAGAGAGAGAGAGAGAGAGAGAGAGAGAGAGAGAGAGACAGAGACAGACAGACAGACGGAGAGAGAGATATTTTGGAGTAATATCTCAATATGCATTTGGAAATTTCTTATAAGGAAACGAATGCGCATGCACAGTTACGCACGAATGCGCGTGTGCGCAGACACACACACGCACACACAAAACGGAGTGTGTGTGTGTGTGTGTGTGTGCGTGTGTGTGAGAGAGAGAGAGAGAGAGAGAGAGAGAAAGAGAGAGAGAGTACGCGTGCAATCGAGTATTTAAATACTAAGACCAAAAGTAAAAAAAAAAACCTATGAAAAATTGGAAACAGGTGGGGGGGGGGGGGGGGGGAAAAATTTTAAAAAAAAAAAAAAAAAAAAAAAAAAAAAAAAAAAAAAAAAAAAAAAAAAAAAAAAAAAAAGGGGGGGGGGGGGGGGGGGGGGGGGGGCAGAAAATTTTTTTTGAAAAAAAAAAAAAAAATTTAAAAAAAAAAAAAAAAAAAAAAAAACTTTTTTTTTTATCTTCTAGGATAACTCGGAATTGGACCAACATCTATAGGTTGATCTTTAAAATGTTCTTCGAAGGAATGGGCAGACGCACCTGCTTAAAATGGTCTCTGGAGGGATAGGCCGTGCGCACCCGCTTGCCCTTCGGTGTGTATCCTTTATATATATATATATATATTATATATATATATGTATGTAGAGAGAGAGAGAGAGTGAAAAATATTTTGGAGTAAAATCCCAATCTGCATTTGGAACTTTCTAAGGAAAATAAATTTGGTTGTTTTCAATATTCAAAGGTCACAAACACAACTACAATGCTCTGAATACAAGATCCTGCAATATCTGGAGGGGTGGGCTTGAATCCAGAATGTGATCATTAAGGCCAGCAGATACGTCAAGCCCAAAGTACACAAACCTAATATCTAGGGTGCAGAAACAAATGTCACAAACTACCAGTCTTCCACAATGTGACAAAGCAACACACTTGCACGATATGCACAGGAATGAAACTCTTTGTCCCACCACCGCTCTCTAAGCAAGATCAAAAGAGAGATCATAGAGGTGGTCGTTATCACAGAAAGAATGTCGAAAAACGAAAATCCAAGCTGCGGTAGACTTTAAGGAGACTCAAGCTGTAGCAGACGCACCATGGAAACTTAGAAAATGATAGAAGAACTCAAGCTGCAAATATTTGGGGACTGCAGAACTTAATACGTTAAATTTATGTGCGCCACTTATGAATACAACAACATAGTTCTTGAACCATGTAAGTGTCTATGGTACAAATCGTACTCACTTGGTACACATAACCTCTCTCTCTCTCTCTCTCTGTGTGTGTGTGTGTGTGTGTGTGTGTGTGTGTGTGTGTGTGTATGCATGTGTATATCTACCAATATATATATATTCATTCGTCTACCTAGTTATGTATCTGTCCATCGTTTCTAAACTTGTTGCCAGAAACTTGATGCGTTGGATAACTGGATTAGGCAACAATTCAAAATGGCATAACATATCAGCGCGAACCACTTCACTATCGAATTTACGACATGATTTGAGCACAACTAGAGACAAACAAGGAAACAGAAAGTAAAATAAAGAGTGTAGATGCTTATACGAAATAACTTTTTTTTTTTTTTTTTTTTT